CAACAGGCAATCGTTCGGTGGGCTGAATTGCACAAAACGCATGATCTCACCGGCTAGTCTGGTGCGCGTTGCCATTTATTTTTCTTGGTTGGAGAGTAAGATGGAGAATGCTGAAGATTTTGAGCCTTGTTTTTAAATTCCTCGTCTTGTTGTTCGTTAACAAATGAATATTTAGATGTGAGACGATACCGGTGATTCATTGCTGCTCTGGTGCGCTCAATCCCGTTCACTGGGACTTTGTCGTCAATTTTTTGCAGCGCTTTTTTCGCACATACCCACTAAACGAGTGTTATCGCGTTCCTTCAACCCATTTTCACTCTTCCAGATTTCTTTTTGAGCTAAATTTTTATCTGAAACATATGATTCCTGCATACATTATCGATTTTTTGAAATCAGTTTGGGGAGATCGAGTACGGTTCGTTGTTTTTTCCCCAGTTCTTTTTCGTTTTCTCCAACCTTTGTTCCTCAGCTGGTCTGCAAGCGATCCGTTTGCTTGTCTTTTAGATTCACTCGCGTATATAACAAGGTTCTAAAACTGGTTGAAACGCTGCATTATTTTACAACGCGTGGTTGGAATTTTGAATCGAAAGGCCTAATCGATTTATGGGATTCAGCTACTGATGAAGATAAAAGGGTGAGTTTTTTTTTTTTTTTGATGCCTTTATTGTAGTGAATCATCTCAGGCACAGTAAGATGCTACTGCAGCCTTACTCAGCATTTCGGTGACTGCCCTTCAATCCTTTCGAGCGTTGGTGACGGGTGCTCTTTGTGACGCAGGCTCTTCGTTGTGCGGTAGCTCTTCTCGGTTACTGGGGCCTTCCATTTCCGGTGGGCGACGGAGGACCAGTGGTTGAAGGAACTCCTCAGCAGGCGGCAAAGAATATTAGACTTCCCCTTTGTTGCAGGCGATGACTGAGTGGTGGTCAAGCTGGCTGGGCAGAAACGAGGCTCTCGTCAGGCCGGCTAGGTAGAAACGAAGCTCCCCTGGAGAACTGTTGAAACATAGCCTTTCCATCCCAAAGTCTATCGGTGGAATGAGGTTTTAAGGGATTGGAAGGAGAGACGGAGTACCTAAAGTCCTGTCCCTCTCCCTTCCCCGTCCTCCCCCCCCCCCCCCCCCCCCCCCCCCC